AGGTGGGGACAAGGATGGGGGGGCTGGGGGGGGACAGGCCGGCATCATCTCCAAGTTGTGGGGAGTGTCAGGACCCTGGAGGATTAGGACCAGTGTCATCTTGGGGAGGGGAGGCGACGGACTTGGGGAGGGGCCTGGATATCCCCTCTGTGTCCAGGCTCTTGTGCCATGTGACTGGAGAGTGGGGTGCTGCCCACCTGGAGAGCTTCACCACTGTTGGGTGCCTTACACCAGCCAAGAGAAGTGGAAATGAGGAGGGGCGGGTGGGGTGAGGGCTGGGGCCTAGTCAGGAAGAGTTGCTCGGTCTGCACTGGGCCTCAGACATAGCCCTGCATAGAGACCCTCAGGGCCTGGGGCCCTCCGCAGCTGTTCTGGTCTGACAGGTTTGGGGTGCAGCCTGCACCGGGGGCTCTGATGCACACCCAGGGCCAAACGGCTACCCGTAGTGGGCAAGGCTGCGGAGACAGGTTTAGCCCCATAGCACGTTCCGCACCTGGGCTTCTGCTCCTAGACCCAGTGGAGGAGAGCAGGGTGAGGGCCCAGCAAGGCCTGGGGAGGGGGCTGGGGCCCGGCACCCATGGGCTGCACAGAGGGTGGCCCTGGGTCTGGCTGGAGCGTGGGGAGAAGTCTTGCCGAGCAGGCAGCACAAGAACCGCCATTTCCCAGCCAGAACTAAAGGGGGGGCAGAGGGGTGGGGGGGCATGGCCGCTGGCATCTGGGCTGTCGTCACCGGGGTCTGCAGCTGTTCGTCCGCACGGGACCATTTGCAACCCCCTCTCAGTTCAGATGTCACGTGCCTACCTGAGCGTTGGGGCCGGAGGCGCGTTTCTGCTTAAACCTTGTCTCCTTTGGAGATCTCGGTTCTGCTCTGTGTGCATGCCACGCAGCTTACATCCTGATCACCTGGGAGCCGTAGCCAGGCTTGGCTTGGGGTGGGGTGGGGGTTGGGGGTGGACTCTGGCCCTGCGGTCATGGGAGGATGGGTCGCCCATGGGGGCCACGCTGCTGATGCTGTGTCCACTCTCTTAAGCACCAGCCCACAGGGCTGGGACCCACAGTGGGGGGCTCCTCGGCCGTGGAGCCCCCATCCTACAGGAGAACTTGACTTGGCTCCCCCCTCCACAGGCTGGATTTCAACGGCTTCTACACGGAGCGCCTGGAACGCCTGTCTGCAGAGAGGAGCCAGAAGGCGGCTCACCACACACCTGCCCCGCGGGGGCCCCCGGCAGCAGCCCCCAGGATCGCTGTAGCGGCCCAGTGAGCCCCATGCATTCCTGTGCCCCACCCGGACAGACCGGAGCACCTGCGTCTGCCAGCCCAGACGTAGAGGGATGGATGTCTACGGATTTGTTGATCTGTTTGCTTTTAAAGAGCTGTGTTGCTTTATTCTGATGTTTTGGCTTCAAATAAAGGGAAAATGAAAACACCTGGCCTTGAGGAAACAAGCAAGAAGTCAGAGGTGCCACAGGGCAGTGCATGTCGGGGTGCAGTCCTGACACCCACATCCTGAACCGGGTCCACTGATGGGGAAGAAGGGGCTCGCAGAGTCGGCCTAGAACGCCCCGGGCACTAGGGGGCGGCACAGGCCCTCGTGTGACACTGAATCTCCAGCCGGTTGGCTGGCTGGCCTCCAGCCTGTCCGGGTGGTGGTCGTGGAGCCCGGGCGGTGCCCTGTGGAGCCCGGCCGTTGCTTGGACATGCAGGAGGAGGTGAGTTACTTGAGGTCAGTCTCAGGTGTGGGAGGTTGCTGGCGGCCACACAGGTGGCCCGGCCGAGAACCTCTGCCCTTCTTCGGAGGGACCCTGTGAGCAGGTGAGGGAGGAATGAGGACCACGGTGTGGCCCAGGTAACCTTTCAGAGGGGGCTGCACGCCAGGGATGGGGTGTGGTCGCTTACAGCCACTTTGACTGCATTTAGGAGGGGCACCCCCAGAGATGGGGGGCTTGGTTCCAAGCCGCAAACGACTTCCTCTTCTAGTCCTCAGCCTCCGTGGGCCGCCCGAGTTGCCATAGCATTGAGGCATTTTGCAAGCGTCCGGGCCCTCAGCTCTGGCCTCCTGCCTGGCCGTAGGCCAGAAACCCTGTGTCCCCCCAGTCTCTGTGTCACCTCAGCCCCCCATCCCTGTATCTCCATGTCCCCAATCCCTGCATCTGTGTCTCTGTGTCCCCATACCCCTGAATCCCTGCGTCCCTGTGTCTGGGACCCCTGGGGCCTCGAGAGGTGCCATTCCCACTACACCTCCAGGGTTTGCAGGTGGCCCATGAGGTTGGTGGCCAGGGCAGGCAAGCATGGGGAAGGGAGAGGCCAAATTAGAGAGACCAGTTCTGTGGGTGTCCTGTGGGCTTGGGGCCCTCTGTGCTGTGGGGGCTCTGTCAGCCATGACCCCTGATGGTGGGGGACCTGGCTTCAACCATCCCGTTAGGTCAGCTTCGTCCTGAGCTTCCCGTGGAACGGTCACGTCTGCGACGGCTGTTGCTCTCTTTGCTTCTAGTGTTGCACGCACACAGGGCGTGTTCAGTTACGTGGTGCCGTTGAGCTCGCAGGATGCACTTAGGATGGGTGATAAAGTTACCAGACTTTGGTTTACACAGCATCGTTTTACAGCAAAGCCACATTGTAAACTTGGGGACAGAAGCCAGTGTCGTCCCAGCGCAAGCCTTACTCTCCTGGCCAGTCGAGCTGTCCCCTCCCCTCACCCTGGCCTGGGGTGCCCCTTGTACCCCACCCCATCCTGGCCTGGCCTGCCCCGCACACCACCAGCCTGGGCTGCCCCACCATGCTCACCTTCCCCCTGCTGAGGACACAGGCCTCTTGGGCAGCAGAGGTTGCCTCTCCGACTTTGGCTTTTTATGCTCTGGAGGTTGGGAAAACAAATGCGTCAGTGTCCGTGAGTCAAAAACGCGTCAGGATCCCTCACTCCCTTATCAAAGCCCCTCAGTGCTTCCTTACTGTCCCAGAATAAAGTCGAAGCCCCATTTCTACCACTGTCCCTTGAACTTTGGGCCCGAGGAACCCCCAACAGTCCCTCAGCACCTCTGCCCACCTGTAGGCCTGGCCCACGCGGCCTGCTGCCCTGCCTGCTTACTCACTAATGCACCTACACACATGCATTTACACACAGCAATACATGCAGGAGCCCACAGACACACACACCCAATACATGGACCAGCCCACGCACACACACACACAGCCACTACATGGACCAGCCCAGACACACACACACCCAGTACATGGACCAGCCACAGACACACGCACGCCCAATACGTGGACCAGCCCACAGACGCACGCCCAATACGTGGACCAGCCCACAGACACACGCACGCCCAATACGTGGACCAGCCCACAGACACACACCCCCAATACGTGGACCAGCCCACACACACACACACAGCCACTACATGGACCAGCCCACAGACACACACATGCCCAGTACATGGACCAGCCACAGACACACACACGCCCCATACGTGGACCAGCCCACAGACACACGCACGCCCAATACGTGGACCAGCCCACAGACACACACCCCCAATACATGGACCAGCCCACAGACACACACCCCCAATACATGGACCAGCCCACAGACACACGCACGCCCAATACATGGACCAGCCCACAGACATGCACACACAGCCTCTCCCCACCCCGTCTCCCCCTTTTTCCCTGGGAATCCAGCACAGGGGAGGGGGCTGTGGTGGATGGCAGTGGCCTTGAAGCCAGACTTCATCCGTGGGACCCTTGTTCCTGCCACCTCACCCTTCCCCCCAGAAGCAGAGTCAAGCTGAGAGACTCAGAAGCCCTGGCAGTGGGTGCTGGCTAGGCAGGTCCACATGGAACAGCAGGGCAGCAGGCTCTGGCTCTAGGGGTGCCCTCTGGGGCAGGAAGGGCAGAAACCCAGTGGGAGGAGCAGGGCTACCTGGGGCAGCAGGACCAGGTGGTGCCTGGCATCTCCACAGGCTGGGCCTGGACCATGTCTCCTCCTGAAACCACACAGGGGGCCTTTACAAGCTCATCCTGGGCTCCTTCCTGTTGTCCACGCCCCTCAGAGACCCACTGCCTTGCCCATGCCCTGGCCCCCACACAGAGGCTCTCTAAGCTCTGGCCGCCCGCCTGCTCTCACTGGGGCCTCAGTGTCTTCATCTGTGCAGTGGAGGGGGCAGAGTGGTGGATGGGGCCACACGGGGCAGGGGTGGGGGTGGGGGCGGTTCTGGCCTGCAGTTCTTTTGTTGGCCAGCCTCTCCCCTCCTATCCAACACCTGCCTGAGACATGGTGCCCTTTGACCGGGGGCTGGCCCTCCTGCTCTGGGCTTCCTAGGGGAGGGGGCAGAGTGGGGAAGGGAGGAGTGAGAGGCCTTGGGTCCCTGCAGTCAGAGGTGTGGGGAGCTGGGCAGGGTGGAGGAGGGGGGGCTGGGGCAGAAGCTGTAAGAAGCCCCACGCTGCGTCCTTGTGTGGTGACCTGGCCTCAGACTCTCATCCACACAAACGGGTGTGGGGGCCCTGCGTGGTCGCCCAGCTCCGTGCGCTCTTTCCCGCGCTGAGAGGCTCCCGCCGAGAGCTGGACGCACAGCAGTAAAGACGGCGCCGTTTCCCCGAGGACACCCTTTCCCCCGGGACGCCCCTCCCGGAGGACGCCTCTCCCCCTGGGACGCCCCAGTTCCAAAGACGCAGCTCATAGCCTGACCCGGGACGAGGAGCCGGCGGAGGGGCGACGGGGAGGGACCTGCACGGCCAGTCCCCAGGTGAAAGGCGGTACCCCGCCCAGCACCCCGCCCGGCAGCACCTAGGGTCGGGGTCACAAAGGAGTTGGGAAGGGGAAGTGGGTCTAGAAGGCGGGGCCGCGCAGCCCAGCCCCGCCCGTTTGCCCGCGGGGCCAATTGGCTGCGGGGCGGGGGTTGGTCTTCGGGGCGGTGCCTCGTAGGGGATGAGCCTCCCTGGGGAGCGCCGGGGAGTAGGCCCTGTCCCGCGGAGAGCCGCTTACCCGTTCGCCCCGCGGAACATTCCAGGCACCCCGCTTCCGGCTCCCCGTCCCGGACGATGCGCGGCCCCGGCCTCGGCCTCGGGCTCTGGCTGCCCGGCGCGCTCTGGCTGCAGGGTGAGTGCTCGACATCCGCGTGACGCGGGGTCGTGGGGAGCCGCGGTCCGGGAGCGGCGAGGCTGGGGCGCCGGGCTACCTGGCCTCCCCTGCGCCCCACGCGTGCTCCGACTGGTACCTGCCGGCACCAGGCTCGCCGAGGTGGCCACTCGGCGGAGAGGAGTCGGAACCTTCAAAAGGAAACCGTGAGAGCCCTGACCGCTTGGTCACGGAACTGGACAGGACGGTGCGGGGCTGAGGGCGGCTGGGGCTGCTGCAACCGCTGCCGGTGGCGCCCTGTCTCGGGGAGCGTCCACCCCTACCAGGACTCCCGAGACCGGCAGGGAAGTGGTGACGAGGAGCAGTGCGCTGGAGCGAGGGGCTGGGGACACATGGGGGGTCTGGCCACATGGAGACGGGTCTCTGGCCAGGGAGGATTGATCAGCTGCCACCCCCGTACCCCCCCTTCTAGGGGCTTCCAGGATGGGAGTTTTGTAGCCCCCAACCCCAGACTGGAGGGGGCTGAGCTAGGGGGATGCTTCTCCAGGAGGCTGGGAGCTGGGCAGCCTTTCCTGGTGACCTCTCCTTTCTTGAGGATTACCGCCCAGTGAAGACACCTTCAGAGCCTGGGTCCTCCTGACCCCGCCACCGCCCGTCAGCGGTGGTTTGTCTTTTGAATGCCCTGAAACTCTCCATCCCCTCAGATCTGTAGTTGGACATGCAGGGGGTTTCCAGCACGTGCGGTGGGGCCTTTCAGTTCCTAGCTAAAATGCCAGGAAGAGATGGATGATGTGGCTACGTGAAAACCACCCCCCAGCAAAAAAAAAACAGCGACCCTATAGGACAGAGTAGGAGCCCTGGTGGCGCAGTGGTTAAGAGCTCTGCTGCTAACCAAAAGGTCGGCGGTTCAAATCCACCAGCTGCTCCTTGGAAACTCTATGGGGCAGTTCTACTCTGTTCTACAGGATCGCTGAGTCGGAATTGACTCGAAGGCAACGGGTTTAGGACAGCGTAGGAATACCCCATAGGGTTTCCAAGGAGCAGCTGGTGGATTCAAACTGTCAAACTTTTGGTTAGCAGCTGAGCTCTTAACCACTGCGCCACCAGGGCTCCGGTTACACGGAGGAGACCGGGACCTTCAAGTGCCTTCAGGTGGGGTCTGCCGCCCCTAGAGCCTGCAAAAACCACAGGAAGCCCTCTTGGGCTGGGGGTCAGACCTTCGTCTCCTGTGGTCAGCGCTGATGGGACATGGGTGGGGAGTGGGACGCGCAGTGTTGGGGCAGGTTCGGGACACCCTGAGTTGCTGGTCCCTGTACTGCCGAGCGACTCACCTCCACAGGCAGGGACAGCATCCAAGGGCAGGAGAGGCCAGAGCCTTGCTGACCCCTGCTCTCCCACAGTGATAACTTCCGGCCCCTCCTTGCCCCACGTGGATCGGTTTCAGGTGGTATGGCCCTGGCGCCTGCCAACACCCCGTGCCCGCCGGGCCCTGTCCTCCCGCTGGGTAAGTCTACAGGGCGTGGTGCAGCCCAGGGGTTCCTTGCTGGCCGAAAGGCCTGGTTTCCATCCGGGACAAGGGAGTCAGTAGCTCCCTGTGAGGGTCTGGCCTGTGGGGCTGCCCCATGCGGCTCTGGGAGAAGTTGGGCTTGAGATCAGACCCTGAAGGCCTGTCTCCGCTCCTGGGTGTGCCCACCCCCACCCCCCCGCCCCTTCTTCCCCCCTGCAGGCAAAGCATCTGCTGAGTGTGGGCCCCGGGGCCGCTGGGCTGCCCAGCTGTCCTGTCTTTCTTGGTGGCCTCTTGCCAAGGCCAACCAGGGGGGTGACCTCAAAGGGAAGGAGGTGGGGGCAGCAGCGGGCAGGCTTAGAGGCCACTCCCCAGTTTCACTTGGCTGGGGTTGTTCTGCCAAGTTCCTCTTCGACCGCTGAGTGCAGCTCACAGCTGACTGTTGTGAGTCAGCCTTGACGCACCTTCCTTGAGGTGTTTGGGACTAGGTGGGGATCTCCCGGGGCCTGGGGAACCGAGAGGAGGCTGTGGGTGTTGCAAATGTTAATGCTCTCGGCAACTGGTTTTCACTGGTTTGGGGAACCAAGAATGGCCTGTGGGTTGCCTCCGGGCTCAGTTCCTAAAACCCCTGTGCGTGTGGGTATACGTGCATGTGTATACATGTGTGTATGTCCATACGTGTGTGCGTGAGTGTGTGCGTGTGTGTGCATGTGTGTATGTGCATGTGTGCGCGTGCATGTGCGTGCGTGTGCGTGTGTGTGTGCGTGCGTGCGTGCGTGTGTGCGTGTGTGTGTGCATGCGTGTGTGTGTGTGTGTGTGTGTGTTTACTGGGATGGTGAAAAGACAGGTGCTGTCTCGGAAACGGCCCCCGGGACCCCTGCAGCTGCCTCGCCCCGTCCCGTGGCCGGGACCCCCACAGCTGCCTCGCCCCGTCCTGTGGCCGGGACCCCCACAGCTGCCTCGCCCCGTCCCGTGGCAGGCAGTCCAACGGATGGGTAAACTGAGGCCTGTCAGGCTGAGGTGCCCAGTGAGGCCCTGGGCAGAGTTCCTGGGTCTGTTCTGGGGACAGGCTCCCCCTCCTGCTCCCGTCTAGCCCAGCCCAGCCATTCCAGGGTCCTCAGGGCTTCCAGGCTGTGTTGCTCCCTGTGGGGTGGCCTTGGGCTCTAGGACCCGCCTGGCCGAGCCCCCGCAGAGGTAGGACGGGGCGCGGCCTCAGGGCAGGCCCCTGACTGCAGGACTCCTCTCAGAGCCTGTACCCGGAGAGCGTGAGCTACGTCCTCGGGGCCGGAGGGCACAACTTCACTCTGCACCTACGGAAGAACAGGTGAGCGGAGGGGAGGCCCGCAGGTCCCACCTGGAGAGCCCCTGCGTGCAGGCCCACCTCGGCCCCGCACGCTTGCGTCCTGGGTGTCATGGGGGTCCTGGTGTCTTGGGGACCCTGGGGCCCTGGGGATCTCGGCTATCCTGGGGGTTGTGGGCACCCTGCTGCTCTGGGCCCACCATCTCCTCACACTGGGCCTTGCCAAGGGAGGCCAGCAGCCCAGAGCACTAGATCAGCTCTTTTCCAGAAATCTGCTGGGCTCGGGCTACACAGAGACCTACACAGCCGCCAATGGCTCCGAGGTGGTGGAGCAGCCACGAGGGCAGGTACGAGGCCCGGGTGGCCTCTGGGAAGGGGAGAAGGGCAAGGCCGGGACATAAAGCCACTCACCACCCTCCTTGCAGGATCACTGCCTCTACCAGGGACACGTGGAGGGGCACCAGGGCTCAGCCGCCAGCATCAGCACCTGTGAGGGCCTCAGGTGGGTGCCACTGGCCCGGGGCAGGACACCCATGGAGTGTCAGCCCCAGCCCTCGCCTCATTTGCAGAGAGGTAAACTGAGGTGGAGAAGAGGGGCTGGTGCCCTGCTCGCAGATACCCCTGTCTTCCCTGTGACTGGGGCATGCAGAGGCTCAGGCTCCCCTAGAATTCACAAGTCCTGGCACAGTGTCTCCTGGGCATTGTCCCCAGGTGTCCGCTGCCTGGAGTTGCTGGGCCCAGGTGGATCGGGAACCTGGGATAGGTGAGGGGCTTTCTCCACTCCCCCACCCCCACAGGGAGGCAGGGACACGGCCCTTGTGCAGCTCCACACCTGCTCCTCTGCCCTCAGGGGCTTTTTCCGAGCAGGCTCGGCCGTCCACCTGATCGAGCCCCTGGACAGTGCTGAGGAGGGCCGGCACGCCCTATACCAGGCACAGCACCTGCAGCAGAAACGCGGCACCTGTGGAGTGAGCAATGCAAGCCTGGAGCACATCCTGGGGCCCCGGATCGCAGCAGCCTTCCGGCCCCGGGTGAGCAAGCAGGCCTGCCCGCTTGGTGTCAGCCTATCTCTGACTTGTCTCCAGACTCTCTGTCCACTCAAGTCAGGTGCCTGCCTGCCGTCCCCATGCCCTGGGGTTGGGCATCCCTGAGCCGTCCACCTCCCCGACACAGTCAGTAAGTGCAGACGAGCTGAGGTGGGCACAGTGGCTGGGTGGCTCACCGCTTTTGTCACCTGCAGGATCGGCCTCTGTCCCAAGAACCCCGGCACGTGGAGCTGTACGTGGTCACAGACAGCACTGAGGTGAGGGTGGGTGGCCAGGGTGGGTGGGCAGCAGGGCGAGTCAGATGGGTGGGTCGGGCTCAGCCTGAGGGTCTCTGTGTTCCAGTTCCAGCAGTTCGGGAGCCAAGAGGCTCTGCGCAGGCGGGTGCTGGAGGTGGTGAACCACGTGGACAAGGTGGGCCACGCCTTCTGTGCTCACAGCGGAGGGTCCCCTGAGGGGCTGCCTTTGGGTTCCTGCCCAGCAGGGGCTCAAGAACCCCTCGGCAGTGGGTCCGCTCCCAGGGAGCACCACCTGCCTGATGGTAACCCTGGTTTAGAGGTGTGTGCAAGGGACCTAGGAAGGCAGCGGGGAGCAGACGGGCCAGCAGCTAGAATAGTCGGCTGGACTGTGGGGGCAGGGAGGACTGCCCGTCCCTAAATCAGCCACTGAGACAAGACTGCCCCGATCTCCCCTCATGCCCCCACCTTCGGGGCTGTGCTGCCTCTGCCAGCCAGTTTACCTCCAGACTCAACCACCTGGGGGGCCCTGACGCCCCCCACCCAACAGGGTCCCCAAGGCCCAGTCCGACATGGGGCTCTCATCCTCACCTAGCTGTACCAGGAACTCGGCCTCCGAGTGGCCCTAGTGGGCCTGGAGATGTGGAGCAGAGATAAGATCAGCGTCAGCCCCCAGGCTGATCACACGCTGGAGAACTTCCTGGCCTGGCGGAAGAAGGATCTGGTGGGGCGGCACGCCCACGACAATGCGCAGCTCATCACGTGAGGGGGGACAGAGGGGCCGAAGGAGCTAGGCGTGGGACGCAAGGTGGGGTGAGGTGTGGGGCACAGGGTGGGGTGAGGTGTGGGGCACAGGGTGGGCTGGGCGTGGGGTGCAGGGTGGGGTGAGGCGTGGGGCCTGGGGTGGGGAGGCCGGCCCCTCTCACCTGCTGACATTGTGCTGCTAGGGGGGTCGACTTCTCTGGCACCACCGTGGGCCTGGCCAAGGTGGCCTCCATGTGCTCCCAGGCCTCAGCAGCCGTGAACCAGGTGCGCAGGGAGACCCCGGGCCAGGAGCAGGGAGGGGGCCAGCGGACCACAGGAGGGCGAGACCCCAACACCAGGCACACAGCAGTGCCGGTGCTCCTGGGGGGCGGGCATGCCCTGTCTGAGGAGAGGTGTTGGCAGGATCGGGGCGAGGCTGCAGCAGCCTCTGGGAGCAGGGAGGGCAGGTGCAGGGCTCCAGACGACCCAGGCGAGCGCTGCCCCCTGACCTCCAGGACCACAGCCAGAACCCTGTTGGCGTGGCATCCACCATGGCCCACGAGATGGGCCACAACCTGGGCATGGACCATGACGAGAACGTCCACGGGTGCTACTGCCCAGTGCCCCGGGACAGCGGTGGCTGCGTGATGGCGGCCAGCATCGGGTAAGGTCTCCCAGTCCCGCCGCCCAAGGGCATCGCCAGCCCTCGTGCCAGCCTGGGGCAGCCCTGCGGAGTGGGCGGGTGGGGGCGGTGTCAGCCCGTGGCGAGTCCCTACCTGACAGCGCACCCCTCCTTCTCAGCCTCAAGTTCCCCAGAATGTTCAGTCAGTGCAGCCGTGCAGACCTGGAGACGTTCGTGGAAAATCCCCAGACAGACTGCCTGCTGGGCACGCTGGACCCCCACCGGCTGGTCAGCGACCCGGTGTGCGGTAACAAGTTCCTGGAGCGCGGGGAGCAGTGTGACTGCGGCTCAGTCCAGGTGCTCCCCAGGCCTGTGGGCCCTCTGCTGGCTACTGTCTGGGGGTGGGGGGCTGAGCAGAGGGGACCCTTCCTAGGGGAGGTGAGTCCCGGGGTGGGGGCCCAGAGCAGAGGGGACCCTTCCTAGGGGAGGTGGGTCCCAGGAGGGGCCTGAGCAGAGGGGACCCATCCTAGAGGCGGTGGGTCCCAGGGGGAGGCCTGAGCAGAGGGGACCCATCCTAAGGGAGGTGGGTTCCGGAAGGGGGACCTGGTTGCTGACACCCCCTGCAGCATGTGGACCCTTGCTGTCCCTACCTGCACAGTTCTGAGGGGCTGCCATGGATGACCCCCTCTGCCCTCACAGGAGTGCCAGGACCCCTGCTGCAATGCCTCCTCCTGCCGGCTGACCGAGGGGGCTGCGTGTGCTCAGGGTGCCTGCTGTCACAAGTGCCAGGTGAGTTGAGTGGGCTTTCTGCCCCCTGAGGCTCAGGACCTCTCACCGCCCCCTGCTGAGCCCCTGACTGGCAACAGGGGACCCCAGTGTATGGTGGGCTGCTGACCTCAGGCCTCACCCTTCCACTGGCAGGTGAAGCCGGCTGGAGAGTTGTGCCGTGCCCCCAAGGATGTGTGTGACCTTGGGGAGTACTGTGATGGCCGGCAGCCCGAGTGCCCAGAGGACGTCTTCCAGGAGAACGGCACGCCCTGCCTGGGGGGCTACTGCCACAATGGGGTCTGTCCCACACTGAACCAGCGCTGCAGTGACCTGTGGGGGCCAGGTGAGGCAGCAGTGTGGGGACGCGGAACCCACTGACCCAGCCAGCCCATCCCTGTTAACCTGCCCTGGTCCTGCAGGTATGCGGGCTGCTACAGAGACCTGCTTCTCCTACAGTCTCTCGCGGGGCTGCCAGGGCCTGCACCTCAGCCAGTGAGTATGCAGGGCCCATAGGGTGCCACTGAGGAGGGGACCCCCCCACCCTACGTACACATGTGTGTGCACGCAGGGGTGCCACCAGAGAGGGGACCCCCAGGCCAGAGCACAGGGTCCATGTGGGGGTGCCACTGGGGAGAACTCCTCAAAGAAGGAGTCTGTTCTCCAGGGTCCACCCTGCTGCTCATGGGAGGGAGGTGAGTCACTGTGGCTGGGGGGAGTGTGGACACCCCACCAATGGCCCTGCCCCACCCACTGCCCCCTCTTGCTGCGGCCCCGGTTCCCCCGAGCCGGGCTGGTGCGTGCTGAGTGGGTCCCAGCATGTCCCTCTGACTGCAGGGTTGACCCGTGTGGCATCCTGTATTGCCAAGGGGCACAGAAGCCCCTGCAGCGGAGCTACTGTACCATCACCCTCTCCTTTGGCCACTGCCAGGCACTCGTCACGGAGGACGGTGGTGCCTACGAGACTGTGCCAGTGGGCACCAGGTGTGGTGAGGGCAAGGTGAGTGCAGCGGGCACCTGCCCCAGGGGCCCCTTCAGCCAGGTGGGTGTGCAGGGGCCACTGGCAAAACCAGGGCCAGACTTAGCACCCCAAGTGGTGGTGACCGGGCAGCTTCACAGCCCCAAGAGCCTGGTACCTGACCGTGAGCCCTGAAGGCGCGCACCTCCCCACTGTGAGTGGTCCGTGTCCTGGGTGGGGGCAGGGCCAGGGCCTCTGCAGGGGCCGGCAGACACAACCCCCCCACAAGGCTGCACCTCCACCTCCACAGACCAGGTCCCTAAGGAGTACCCCCACCCCTCCAGGTTTGCTGGGAAGGACGCTGCCAGGGTCTCCACGTTTACAGATATGAAAACTGCTCCGCCAAGTGCAACGGCCATGGGGTATGTTTGGGCTCCTGGAACAGCGTGCCCCCAGGCCTGCCCTGGCTTGAAGAGGCATGTGGGCTGGGGACGTGCCTGGGTGGACAGAGGGAGGCCAGCCACGGGTACCATGGTGCAGGTGCTTGACCCCTGGCACAGCACTCTTGGCATCATGCCTGAAAACCAGTGCTAGGTTGGTCATTGTGCTAGCTGGCATGTGGGCCAGGCCTTCCAGCTCCCATGCAGGGCCCCTGCCCCACACCGCTCACCTGTTAGTGCTCGTGAGCCCAGCCATCACGCCGCCTGCCACACACAGACACACACAGCACATGCACAGACTCCGTACATACATGTGCATGCACATACCACATACACACACACAGAGACAGACACACAACACACACACAGACTCCGTACACACATGTACGTGCACATAACACGTGTGCACACACCACATACACACAGAGACACACAACACACGCACAGACTCCATACATATGTGTACATGCACACACGACATACACATGGACACACACAACACATGCACAGACTCTACATACATGTACGTGCACACACCACATACACACAGAAACACACTACACACGCACAGACTCCATACATACATGTATGTGCACATAACACGTGTGCACACACACACACACAGGCATGCACATGCGTGGGCACAGACACTCCACATACAAGCTCACACACCACATACACCTACATGCCTGCATTTACACATGTGCAAATACCTGCCCGTGCACAGACACACACAGCACACATTACGCATGCACTGTGTCCACTGCACATACACACGTGCACAAACTGCACATGTGCACATACACGTGCACACTACACACATGCATACACACACTCCCGGTTTCCATGTGGAACAGTGGTAACTGGCTGGTCCAACTGGAAACAACCTCAGAGCCCAGCCCCTCACTCTGCGACCAGGTTGCACTTTGAGCTCTGGGTGACCCACACACTCTGCTTTAGGAAAGTCAGAGCTGATGAGTGCTTGACGCAGAAAGGGAGTCTGGAACTCTCCCCTCCTGAGGCTTCTCACAGGGTGGGGTGGTGCACCACCCCCTAGCAAGGTTGAGGCAGGGGCTGGCCTGCAGAAGGTGCAGAGGGCCGGACCTTGGAGGGTTGGGCCGCAGTGGGGTGTCAAGGTGTAGGGGGCCCCTGGGCCCCACTGGGGCAGTGGGGACTGAGAGGCAGGGGCAGCCCTGCAGAGGCATCTGGACTACTGCCCCTCCACGTGGTAGAGCCAGCCCCCACTGCCTTTGGGGCTCCCTGTGGTGCCAGCATCTGCCCATTCCACCCACCCACCGACTGTCTCTCCAGGTGTGCAACCACAAGAGCAAATGCCACTGCCACCCAGGCTGGGCCCCACCAGACTGCGCCAAGCCCGTGTCTGACGTGCATACAGGTAGGGCCTGGGGGGCCCCACACGGCCTGAGGGCACGAGGCCCCACGGGTGGGGGAGTGACATCCATGGGGCCTCTGCTCAGCCGCTGGGTTCTGGCGCTTTTCCTGACAGCCTGGGGAACCCTGAGGGCATTGGTAAACACAGGCTCCACGGCCCTCCACGGTGCTCTTACCCTGAAGTTCCCGTGCCCCCTGCCTCAGCCCTACACGGGAGTGTCCTGGAGAGACGGGAGGACGGTGACCGAGGGGTGCTGGGTCAGGGCGAAGCTCCCAGGACAGTTCTCAGCCCTCTTCACAGTGGCCCACCGCCACAAGAGTCTTCCTCCCCACTGGCCACTGTCTTAGTCATCTAGTGCTGCTATAACAGAAATTCCACAAGTGGATGGCCTTAACAAAGAGAAGTTTATTCTCTCACAGTTTAGGAGGCTAAAAGTCAGAATTCAGGGCACCAGCTCCAGGGGAAGGCTTTGTCTTTCTGCAGGCTCTGGGGGAAGGTCGTTGTCATCATCTTCCCGTGGTCTAGGAGCTTCTGAGGTGCAGGGATCCTGGGTCCAAGGGACCCGCTCTGCTCCTGGCACTGCTTCCTTGGTGGTATGAGGCCCCCCACTCTCTCCTCCCTTCCCTTTGATCTCTTGTAAGATGAAAAGTGGTACAGGCCACACCCCAGGAAAACTCCCTTTACATTGGATCAGGGATGTGACCTGACCAAGGGTGTTATCCCACCCTAAGCCTCTTCAACATAGTCCAATCTTGCCTCATTTACCACAGGCAGAGATTAGGATTTATAACACAAGAAAATCACAATCACAAAATGGAGGACAACCACACAATACTGGGAATCATGGCCGAACCAAGTTGACACATACTTTTGGGGGACACAATTCAATCCATTACCCTCTACCCTTTGGCCCCCTAAAATTCATGTCCTTGCTTCATGTAAAACACATTCACCCCATCATATCATAGCAAAAGTCTTAAATCAATTCCAAGTCCAAAATCCAAAAATTCCTCTTCATCTGTGAAATCTAGAATACAAGTTATCTGCTTCCAAAGGTATGATGGTGGAACAGGCACAAGGGAGACATTTCCATTACAAATGGGAGAAACTGGACGGAAAGAAAGGATAACAGGGCACCAAGCAAGTCAGCAGAACACATTACGTTAGCCCTTAAGGCTTGAAAATAATTCTCTGTTCTCTGAGACAGTTTACACAATAGCCCTGTCCTCTAGACTCTAGGTATTGACCACACTCTCCAGATTCTAAGTGGAGGCCCCTCGGCCCTGCGCTTCAGCTCCACCTTCCAGGCCCACTGGGACAGCAACTCTGCTCCCTCGGCTTTAGGCGCACCATTCTCCTATTCCATCTGAGTGGCGACTCCAACCTTAGAAACACCAGAGGCCATGGCTCCACCCTTTGAAACCCCAGAGGTTGAGGCCATACCTTTTGAGACTAAGGCAGCTCGGCTTCTGTGTTCCTTGTCTTTTTAGCATCTGCTTCCTGGTTCCTCGGCCTCTCAGCCCTCGGGCCTCACGCCCGCATCTGCCCTGCTGAGGCAAGTGTTCCAAAGCTCTGTATCTCCACCAATAAGAGCCTCGAGGCACCCCACTCCTTCAGTAAACTTTCGCCAAAAGGCGCTCAGCTGTCTTGCTCCATAGGTCGGCAAGCCTAGCTCCACCCATAAGTGCCAGGAGGCACCATACTCCACTAGGAAGCCTCCTGCACAAAGGCACTCAGCTTTCTCACTCCATGGGTCGGCTCCAGCACTGTCTGGCGCTGGTCTCCTAGTTCTGCTGCTGCCGGTCCTCTGCTGCTGCTTCTCACCATCTGCACCGTCTCCGATGTTAACAGTTCTCCTCACTTCCTTCTGAGTCCTTTATCCATTCACAAATTTCAAAACCGCTTCCACATTTTAGGTATCTGTTAGAGCGGCACCCCACTCTCGGTACCAAATTCTGTCTTAGTCGTCTAGTGCCGCTGTAACAGAAATACCACCAGTGGATGGCCTTAACAAAGAGAAATGTATTCTCTCACAGTCTAGGAGGCTACAAGTCTGAATTCAGGGTGCCAGCTCCAGGGGAAGGCTTTCTCTCTCTGTCAGCTCTGGGGGAAGGTTCTTATCATCAATCTTCCCTTGGTCTAGGAGCTTCTTAAGTGCAGGGACCCCGGTCCAAAGGACGCGTTCTGCTCCTGGCACTGCTTTCTTAGTGGTATGAGGTCCCCAACTCTCTGCTAGGTTCCCTTTCCTTTCATTTCTTGTAAGATGAAAGGTGGTGCAGGCCACATGCCAGGGAAACTCCCTTCACGTTTGATCAGGGATGTGACCTGAGTAAGGGTGTTACGTCCCATTCTAATCCTCTTTAACATAATCTAATCTTGCCTCATTAACCACAGTTGGAGATTAGATTTACAACACACAGAAAAATCACAGTCACAAAATGGAGGACAACCACACAATACTGGGAATCATGGCCTAACCAAGTTGACTCATATTTTGGGGGGACACAATTCAATCCATGACAGCCACTGAGCGTGCAGTCATCCACAACATCATGGCCTCCAGGGCCTGGTCTGGCCATGCAGGCATCACTGGGCCTGGGGCCACCCGCAGCCCAGCCTTCCAACCTGCCACTGGGGACTCCAGAGCTCTGGTGTAACGCACCTGTGTCTGCTGTTGGTGGGATCTTGGACAGGGCCTGACTGTTGCAGCTGCTGCCAGCTCCTGGGGGGAAAGCTCAGCAGCAGGCGTTCTCGGTGGCCAGCTCTGGGCTTGGAGGGCTCAGCCAAGGTGGGGTCTGTGCATATGGCCCCCGCCATGGAGCAGGTGATGGAGGAGCCATGAGGAAAGGCTCTGGTCCCTCGGGCAGGGGCTGCTTCCCTCACGGGCCCCCTGGAGCCACCGGCCCGGCTGATAGCAGTTCATTGTGTCCCTGACAGCATCTGGGAACCTGCCCATGGGAGTCCTGGTGAGTGTGGTGCTGCTGGTGGTCGTGTTGCTCCTTGTGGTAGGTGTCATCTTCTACCGCAAGGCCTGGGGCCACGGTCGCAAGAGGTGAGGACGCACCTGTATTACAAGATGTCAGTGTGTGTGTGTGCATGTGCGTGTGTGTGTGCACCTGTGCGTGTGTGTGTGCACGTGTGCGTGCATGGGCATTTTGCACATGCATGCATGCCTGTGTGTGTGCACCTGTGTGTGTGTGCACGTACGTTTGTATGTGCACCATGCTTGGCGCCGCTGTCAGGGAGGTGAGGACCAGCTCCCCATGCACGGCCCCAGCACGAGGGGTGTCTTCCCTCTGCAGACCACCTGCATCTGCCAGTCCTGGGGCTGAAAGCTCAGCTTCCTCAGGTCCATCCAACCCCAGAGGGCAAGCAGAGCCTTAGCTCTGGGCCCCCTGCCTCTCTCTGAGACATGAAGGGGGTAGGTTCTGATGCCAGGTTAGTGAATGTGAGTTCCCCGTGGCTGCCGTAACCAAGTACCATGATGTGGGTGGCTTCTAAGAACAGAGGTTTATTGTCTCACGGATTCTAGGTTAGAGCTGTTACGTGGCTGTCTTCTCTCTGTGTGTCTCTCCTCTTACAAGAACACTGCTGAGGCGGGCTTAGGACCCACCCTTCTCCTGGATGACCTGATAACCTAACTGATTGCATCTCCAGAGGCCCTATTTCCAAATAAGGTCACATTCACATGTATTGGGGTTAGGACTTTAACATATCTTTTTGGGAGTCACAGTTCAACTCATAGCGGTGATGTAAATACAAAGAGAGGCCAGATGGAGCCCCCCACATCCACCAGGCGAACCCCAGCAGGTCCTGCGTATCCCCGAGGCACTTAGGACTCCACCCACCCATGGGGCTGCCACACTCGGTAGTGATAGCAGCACACAGAGGGGCTGCTTGGCACCTGGCACACGCCTGGCACACCTGCCCGGGGTAGATGGCCCTGCTCCGTCTTGACGTGGGGAGTGCTGGGCTGCCCCTGCCCAGCTGGACTGCACCTCCAGGGTCCACCAGGGCAGCGAGCACTCGAAGAACCTCCCTGCCCTGGTCTTCCCACTTCGCATGTGGTGCTATGGCTCACCCACCGACTGGGAGCCTCCTGAGTACCTGGTGGGGACGCCGAGGCCAGGCCGCCACTGACCATGCCTTTCCTTTTTCCCCAGGAACACAGCCCCCAAGACCTCCACGGGGCTCACGAACCCCATGTTCCACGAGAAGGGCAGCACTGCTGCCCTAGGAAGGAGCAGTGCTGCGGCCCCCACTGCCGGCCCCCCCGAGGCAGTCTCGAGCACCCACTCCCACCAGCCCCCTAGACCCCTGGTGTCCACGGAGACCCCGAAGTGGCCACGTCCTGTTGTAAGCATCATGTCCCCTAACAGGCCTAAAAAATCCATTGTCTTCGAGTCGATTCCGACTCATAGCAACCCTATACGACAGAGTAGAACTGTCCCATAGGCTTTCCAAGGAGCGGCTGGTAAATTTGAACGGCTGACCATTTGGTTAGCAGCCAAGCTCTTAGCCACTGCGCCACCAGGGCCCCCCAGTGGGCCTAGTGAGGCTGAAATACAGAGACAGGGTCCCCCAGCCCACCCTCAAAGGTTCTGGAAGCGTGCCCTCGTTCCCTAGGAAGCCCCTAGAAGGCTGAGGCAGACCCCCCAATGCACACACATGGCTGGCTTCTCCTACCCTCTGTAGGAGGGGCGGAAACCTCAGAGCTGAGTGCTGGGTGGCTTGGGAGACCCGACGGGGAGAGTGCACCCCGCAGGTGGCAGCCCGGCTGCCCGGTGCACTCACAGCTGCCCCTTTCCCTGCAGCCCCCCGCCGCCATGTCCAGGCCCCGCTTCCCGGTTCCGGTGTACACACAACAGGCGCCGGAGCAGGTGAGCCCGCCTCGGAAGGGAGGAGGTGGGCAGGCTGGCTGGATTCAGGGCCCATCTGAGAGCGTGTTGCTTCATGGGGGGCAGGAGGCAGGGAGTGGGGGGTGGTCCTGCACTCAGGAGGCCTGTAGCTCCCACCAAGGGAGCTGTCAGTAGGGCCAGGAGCAAGGCAGAGGGGCAGCTTCGGGGCCATTCTGAGGTTCCAGGGCCCAGGGCTGCCGGGGGGTTGAAGGGTCAGGGGGTGTGACCCTCCTCCTTTCTCTCAGCAGCTCAGGCCTTCCCCACCCAACAAGCCCCTCCCGGAGCTGAAGCCCAAGCAGGTGAGAGACTTTAAGGTCCCCACCCCACCACCCCGGGCTGCCCTGGGTGCCCCTCTGGCCGTGCGAACACCTGGTTGGGGAGGCCCGGCTTGGTCCTCCGGGGGAAGGCCAGACAGCTCCCCTGGCCATGAGGCTTCGGGGTTCAGAGAAGACCTCCCTCAAATGTGAATGACTGGAGCCTTGGCCGGGTTTGGCTTCATTACAAGCCCTCCCTATCTCCCAGCTCCTCCCCTGGGGTGTCGGGGTCTGCCCCCAGCCCCTCCCCTGCCGTGTCAGGGTACCATCCCCTAGCCCTGAGCTCCCTGCCCCCAGGCTTACCTCTGCCAGTCCCTGGGGGCAGGATGGAATGGGTGACTGCTAGGAAGCCCCGCCCGGGCCCCCAGGCCCTCCCCTGCCGTGTCAGGGTACCATCCCCTAGCCCTGAGCTCCCTGCCCCCCGGGCTTACCTCTGCTAGTCCCTGGGGGCAGGATGGAGTGGGTGACTGCTAGGAAGCCCCGCCCCAGCCCCCAGCCCCTCCAGTACCCTTCAAAGGCCTAGATGGGCAGAACTCCGGGCGGGGGTGGGGAGGAGGGGTGTGATCACCTCCTGTAGGGCCTGGCATGGACTCCAGCTGTCCAAGTCTGTGTCCACCTCAGGCCATCCTCGTTGCTCTCACTGGGGTGGATGTGAGGGGGCCCGGGTGAGGAAGGTGAGGAGGGCTGGGAAGGGTGTAAGGACTGAGGGATGGTGGGAGGTCTCATCTACTGGGAGGCTCTGGGGAGACCTTCCAAAACGTGGCCTTAAGCGTTCGTCCACTCCCCAAACATCTGTGAAGAGTCTACTGAGGGCGGTGCAGGGAGGGCCCCTGCCCTCGAGGTACGTGGCTCCTCAGGCTTACGGAAGGCTCGCAGTAGTGCCAAGTTCCCTGTACCATTCACCCACCTCCCCCAGCGCTAACATCTTACATAACCAGGAATTAACACTGGTCAGTGCTGCTGACGAAACCACAGACCTGATTTCACCAGGGTGTCTGCTGATGTCCTTTCTCTGTTCCTGGATCCCACATCTCTCTAGTCTCCTCTTGTCTTTCATGACCTTGTTGCTGTGAGCTGCCGTCCAGTCGGCCCCCGACTCATCACGACCCCATGCACAGGGGAACAAAACGCTTCCTGGTCCTGCGCCATTCCCACGATCTACTGTAGATAGATCTGTTGTAGTCCATAGGGCTTTCACTGGCTGATTTTTGGAAGTACATCTCCAGGCCTTTCTTCCTACTCTTAGTCCAGAAGCTCTGCTGAAACCTGTTCGCCATCATAGCAACATGCAAACCTCCACTGACAGACGGGTGGTGGCTCTGCATGAGGTGCATTGGCTGGGAGTTGAACCCAGGTCTCCCACACGGAAGCGGGAATTCTCCCATGTCCCTCATTTTGGGTTTGTCTAGTGTCTTCTTGGAGTTGGACTGAGCACAGAAGAGCGTAGAAGTGACGCGGTGCCCTCCCCAGGGGCGTGCCTCGGGCACTTGGCTATCATGGTGTCTGCTGGCTTCTCCACTTACAGTCAGTGTCTTTCCCTCTTGTTAAACAGCTTGAGGCAGATTCTTGGAGACAAAGCACTTCACCCACTGCCTTGAGCCCCCTCAGTGGAGCTTGTCTGCAGCATTATCATCCGAGTTTCCTTAACGGCGGTTTGCTACTCCTCTTTCCTTTTGAAAGTTTTAGACTCACAGCAAAGTTGCCAAAGTAGTTTTAGGAGTGGTTTTGACAGACTGGGGCGGCGGTTTGCTGTTGAACGTGAGGAGGTCGGCACTTCAAAGGCTATGGTGCGGTTGTGCTGTGAGCTGGCGGGGGAGCAGAGACAGAGACGGGGAGTCATGGACACTGCAGCTGTGGCCTGCCCACAGCGCACCCCATATCCTTCGAACGTGCCCTCAAGGGTCAGAGCTGCGGTTCCCCCTGCTCTGCCTTCTTTATCCCAGATCCCAGCTCCCCATGCCCTGCGAAAGCTAAAATGTAAAGAGATGCCAAGTTTTAGCAATTCTTGGCATTTGAGCTTCCAAAGACCCAAATTCTGGCCATTTAAGAGCTTCCCAGGGGTCCTGTGGGGAGTAGAATGGGCAGTGAGGCTGAAGCGGTTGAGGCCGGAGGGTCCAGGAATGGCTGGTTCTGCCAAGTGTGGGCTTTATTCTGTGTGCAGCGGTTGCTGGAGGGCTTTTCTGTTGGGGCATGTTCAGTAGAGGCAGAAGCCCGCAGGCCATTTTGGACCCGATCCAGGAGCTGGGGGAGCTCCCTGGAAGGCTGCCGTGGGGAGAGACGGTGCCCAGGTAAGGGCACCAGGACAAGTGAGGCGGCCTCCCTCCTCAGCTGTGTGTGTCTCCCTCTAGGTCATCAGGCCAACTGCTGCACCCCCAAAGCCACCTGCCAAGCCCAGTGCTGAAGGGTCCACTCCCTTCCAGGCCATGAAGCCAACCGCTGCACCCCCAGCACCATCCACCAAGCTCAAGCCTGCTCTGACTCAGGTGAGCCCCCACCCACTGCCTGGCTCACGGTGTCCATCTGGGCAAGGACAGCAGAGTTGTTGCTTCCCTGTTGGGCCAGCCAGATAGCTACCCTGAGAGGGTGGGGCTTTTTCCTTCTTAAAATTGTCAGCTGATCAACTTTGATGATGATTTGAAAAGGATGGAAAACTCATTCGCTACAGGTTTATTTTAGCTTCCGCTCTATAATCCGTCTAAGGACTTTCGGTGAACACCACTTCTACCCGCTGCGACTTCTGCAGCGTGTTCCCTGCCGGGATACGTAGACAGCCTGTCCTTTATGTATATAATGTGTTAGCTATTGATATTTTGCTGTCACTGTTACCATCATTGTGTGGACAGGGCCATGTATTGTTGGATGAACTAGGGATCTAAATTCTAAGAAATGTAAAAGGAAATGAGATTAAGTTGTGCCCTTGTATCAGATGATTTTTAACGTCAGTTCTCTTTTCCCGCTTCAAGGGGGTTGGTGCAAAGGTTGCCCTGAAGCCCCCCGTCCAGAGGAGGTGACGGGTCCAGGAGTTCGTGAAGCACTGTGGCGTGTATCTGTGAACCTGTCTGGAAGTTGCCTGTTGTTCATGTTGAAAAACTGTGAGCCTTGTCACCAGCACGCCCCTGGCGCACGCCCCTGCGTGGGTTGGCAGCTCCCAGCAAGCTCGGACTCCACAGCCAGGGCCCAGGTGTGTGCCCACCTTAGAGGGCTGTGGTTTCTTTTGAGAGCCACACTGCCCATGGCCAAGGCTGCTCTCCTCACCCCAGAGACACTGCAGTGGCTGTGGTCACCACCAAGAGGCTCTCAGCTCAGGATTTGGTGGCTGGGCCTTGGGCGGCTGGTTCCTGACCTCAGAACACCTTCACCTAAGAGGCCAGACAGCCCCTCATGGCCAGTCCCTCCTCACCAGTGCCGGCCACATTCAGCCCAGTGTGTCTGAGGTTGCCAGGTGGGGATGAGCATCATCTGTTGTTTGGGACGTGTGTTTGTGTCCAGACAGCCTTCCTCGGAGGCACAGAACACATCCTTCCTCCAGCCCTCGCCACACCTGCTCTCAGGTCTTCGAACACTTTCTACTTCCAGGCAGAAGGGCCGACCCCTGGCATGTGTTTACATTGTACATCATCAGAAAAGGGCCCCTGGCTAGACCGCACCCCACCCGCCCCCTGCCCCAAGGTGGGACAGCACTGAGGGTTTTTGCTTTTTAAGAGGTTGTCCATGAGCACTGTATCTACACCCTGAGCCTGCTTTCCCATGAGATTTAAGAAGGAAAAGCTCCAGTGTTTGTTTTCTATTTTTTGGCTTAGGAGTCACCACCTTTATCTAAAGGGCCAAGCTGGGGAGGCAACTGCCTTGTCTGGTTCTCTTCAAACCTGAGGTGCACGTTCAGCAGCGCTGAGGCTTTTTATACTTTAATAATGAAAAAGCTGTATTTATGATTAAATTATTGACCAAATTTTAATGTCTAGAGATTTTTATTAGATCAGTGGGGAAGGGTACATATTACACAATGGGGAATTCAATTATTTTTATACTATTTAAGGGTTTAATGCTTGCTGAAATAAAATGTATACTGTAACTATATAATGTCAAACTATCTTTTTGCTCCTTTCTCCACCTTAATTAAACAACCCCAGTTCAGATGGACGGGAGGGCTAGTAAGACTCAAAGAACTGGCACCGAGGGGTTGATTCAACAATTAACTGTGTGAAAAGCCCAACCTCTGGAAGTCAGTCATGCTACAGCGCGGTCAGCAGCGGGTGGTCTGCAGCTAGGAACTTGAGGGTCCACAGGGAACCTGCCAGAGCATTGCTTCTGGCTGTAATCTTCCTAGTATAAAGTCTTGGCCCAGAACAAAAGTTTGGCACGTAAGGCCTGCTGTTCACACGGGATCCAAACGCTGCCGGCTGCGAGAAGCCCGAGGCTTCCCAGCTCCGAGCCACGCAACGCGGGCGCCCCACCCGTTCCGGCCCGTCTCCCGGCAACAACCCCAACTACCAGCCTGGGTACCCGCCCCTTCCGGCCCGTCTCCCGGCAACGGCCCCAACAACCAGCCTGGGCACCCGCCCCTTCCGGCCCGTCTCCCGGCAACGGCCCCAACAACCAGCCTGGACACTCGCCCCTTCCGGCCTGTCTCCCGGCAACGGGCCCAACAACCGGCTCCGGCGCCATGCTTCGTGCTGCACGCCAGAGCCCCAGGACCGTCCCGCCGCTGCCGCCGGACGCCCTCCGCGGCCTCTACGCCTGGCTGGACAGACTCCCGCTCAGTCGCCCCAAGCGCCACTTGGCCCGAGACTTCAGCGACGGCGGTGAGGGCGCGTCCGGCGGGGGCGGGTGGCCGTGCGGAGGGCCGTCCGGCGGGCTGCGCACCTGAGGACTGGCCAGGCTAGGGTCCTGGAAGGCGGGCGGAGGGCATGGGGGCTGACCGCCCAGGGAGGTTCAAGGACTGCACGGCCGCCCATTAGCGGGACCTGGCCCTGTGTCTCGTGAAGGGTCCCGACTCCCGGGCTGCCGGCAGAGTGCTGAAGACCCCGAACAGGAGCAGGAGAGGGCAAGCTGAAGGAGGTGGCCTGGGCGTGGGGGAGGGGGAAGGGAGGGAAGTGCAAAGATATCGTGGGAGGGGGGCAGAGGCGGTAATATCCCAGGAGGAGGAATGTGGCGGAGTGGGGGGCATATGAGGGAACGTTCTCAGGCCGCTTGGAGAACTTGGGCTCCCTACACTTCTGGTCCCCAGCGACCTTGGAAAGGGGTGTGGCAGGATGCCCACCTGCCCCTTGAGACCCATGGGGAAGCCACGTGGTCCAGGCTGTCTCAAGGACGAGGATGGGGGTGGTGAGCAGGATGGAGGCCGCCAGCCAGTGGGCTATCAGTGCCTCTGCCTTTCCCTCTGCCCAGGCCCCTGGTTGTCATTTGTGTTTATACATTTCAGGCGCTTCATTAATTTTTCATGGTCTCTTGCTTGTTTGCTCTGTCCTCATGTGTAAGACTGGCAAGGATTTTATGTCAGTTGGGGAAATCCTCTAGCCTTTGCTCAGATTCTGAGTGAGGAGCCTCTGGAAGTGGTAGCTGAAAGCATTCAACCCCCAGTCAAGGCAGCTGTCCAGCACCGGCCGGAGAGGATGGTGGCACAGACTCAGGGTTCCCCCCTGCAGCTCCTGCGACCTCCCAGGTCCCCCCTCTCAGCCCTCAGCCCTGGGGGGCATCACACCCTGCAGTGAGGTCTGGCCTCAGCCCAGTGAATGCTCCCTTCCCCCACGCCCCTAGGCCTTGGCCCTTCTCCTGGTCTTCCCACTCTCCGTGTACAGGAGACCAGCCTACCTGGGGACAAGCCTTTCCTCTCTCTCCCACTTCCTCTTTTTCTGTCCTCATCACTTCAAGGGGCCGTAGGAAACCGCAATGATGTCAGAAAAGGAACCAGTTCTTAGCTCAATAGGCCAAGCTCACCCTGAGCCTCTTCTCCTTCCAACCCCCCCGTGGCCTGAAGTGATGATGGCTGAGATTGTGAAGCACTTCCACCCCCAGCTTGTGGACCTGCACAACTATGTCCCCACCTGCAACACGGATCAGAAGCTCAGCAACTGGAGCACCCTCAACAGGCAAGGCCTCCCCACTGGGTTTGGGCAGGTGGGGCCACCACCCGTGCCCCCAACCTTCAGAGCCCCACTCCTCTCCCCAGGGCTGGCCCCTCTGCGGGCATCCCTGCCACTCTTTCCAGTGTCTGTGTTCTGGTCCACCAGAACCTCACCCTGCTGGGAGGAGAGCACCCATCTGTGGGTATGGGTCATACCCTCTGAGCATGTGCTCAGCCCATGCTGACCCCACCTGGATGCCCCACAGGAGCCTCTCACCCACTCAACAAGTAGTACTTTGTGGTACCAGGCAGTGAACAGTCCCTGCTCTCGGGGAGCTGAGCGTCTGGTGGGGAGAAAGGCTGTGAGGGTGACAGGGTCAGCATGAGGCCGTGAGCCCTGGAGGCCATGCCAGGACCTGGCTTCCAACCTCAGTGAGGCTGGCAGGTCTGACAGGATGTGCAGGGGACAGAGGTGGGGAGGGGGAGGGGGCTGCCTGCATCCAGGGATGAGTGGTGAGGAGAGGTCAGATGCTGGGCATTTGGGAGGTGAGGCCAGCAGGACCTCCTAACATGGGGAAGGGCGGCTGTCAGGCAGGAGGTTCTGGACAGTTAGGCGGAGCAGTCCTACAGAAGCTCCAGGCTGCAGGGGGAGAGGGACCCATGCAGGGACAGCCTGCCTGACCTACATCCCACCACCGCTGAAGGGACATGACCTGTAAGGGCAAAGATGACAGGTCATTGAGTCTCATGGGGACAGGGACCCCATAGGAGTCCTGCCAGGACACTTCCTGTGGCCCAAGGACGTGGCCCCCACCTGGCCTGTGCAAGGCGGTGGAGCTGCTTGCTGAGGGCCATGCGGGTTCCTCTGCAGGAAAGTCTTTCACAAGCTGCATTTCTGCGTCTCGGAGGCTGACATCCGCAAGGTGGTGGCCAACACACCTGGGGCCGTGGAACCCATCCTGTGGGCACTGAGGGCGAAGGTGGAGGAGGGCACACTGGGCGGGAGCCCACCCTCTGAGGCGGTATGTCTGCGCCATACCAGGTGTTCCCACGGGCAAGCTCCCATCCGTCCGTGGGAGGAGGAAAGCAAGGGGCCACAGTCATGGAGTCCCAGTGTCCCAGCACGCCCCGCCCCCAACCCTGCGAGGGCTGAAAGTCCCTTCCTGGCCTGGCCCACCTCTCCGTTCCCAGCCTGGCTCTCCTCCCTGACCCACTCAGTGTCTCCAAGGCGCCTCGAGTCATGACTTCCACAATCCCTGCAGGGTCCAGGACGCTGCAGCCCTGGTGCGGACGGTCCGTGGGCAAAGCTCACTGGCCACAGGTGCACAGCAGGTATCTGCCTCGGAGGAAAGGCACAGGTGGGAGGGGCCAGCAGAGCCCTCGGATCCTGGAAGGTGGCGAGGTACTCCCCTGCTCACACCCTTGGCCGCGAGGGGCCAAGCCTCCTCAGGGACGGGGGCTAGCCCCACTCCGCGGGGATGCAGTCGAGCCTACCCGGGGCCACCCGGGTGGCCCTTGTTAAGGCGACCTTGCTGCAGAAGCAAGGTCCTGCTGTCAGACCCGTGGCCTCCGCTCCAGCCCCTTAGGACCAGAGCATCCCCACCGAGGACCCCTCTAAGTGGAGGCTCCTTTCTGACGTGTCCGTTTATCACGCAGGACCATCGAGTCCCCTAGTGCTCTGCGACGGGAAAAGCCCTCTGAGTCAGCGGCCCCCGGAGGAGATGAGCTGCACTTGCCCAGGGTGGGCCCTGCCTCACAAACCCTCTCCCCTTTCTCACCTCCAGTCCTCCCTCCTATTCCCTGGTCCCAGTGTCTCACCGGATGGGTTACAGGCAGCCTTTGCCTTGCAGTCAGGACATGGGTGACCTTGGGGTCCAGAAGGTGCTGGAGAACAAGGAGCAGGCACTGGCCATCCTGCAGGAGACGGTGAAGGTAGGCGATCCTGTCCGCAGCCTGCCGCGGGGGCGAGGGGTCTAGTGCATGTGCTGACCAAGGTTCAGGCCCCGAGAAACGGTGACCATCCAAAACCACCTGTCTTGGGGGCAGACTGGGTACTGCCTGGGAGAACTCACATTTCAGTCTGATTATTTAAAAGTGATTTAATTATGGAATATTCCGAACATACCTGGAAGCAGAGAGGCCCTATAATGGTTCCCCTCACACGTACCCCCAACCCAGCTCCACTGGAGAAGGGCATGAGGGCCTCAGGCCAGTGAGCAGACAACCCCCTGACCCCCAGCGCATCACCCAGGATGTCGGCCGAGCTCTTCCCTCTCCCGGTCCAGGGCCTGGGCCACGGGCAGCTCCTGCCAGGCTGGGTTCTCTGTGGACCTCTGGTCAGCCTCCTACGCCACGATGTGGTCTTGGGCCTCCCTCCCCCAGGGCAGCACAGGCTGCGCCCTCAGCCCGGGACAGTGCACGTAGGGGCAAGTGCACGCGCAGGGGCATTACGCGGGGGGTGCAGGGGCACGCTGGTGCTGGGGGAACGTGGGGTTAGGGAGCATGCGGGGGTGGGTGTGCGAGGGGCGTGAGGGGGCAGGGGGGTACAGGGGGGTGTGAGGTGCGGCTACGCGCAGGGTTGCGTGGGCGCTAGGGCTGGCAGGAACTAGGATGACTCCGAGCTCCCTGGCGGGCACCTGACTCAATGAACTGTTTCCTGACAACATCGCAGAAAAGTGATATCATTACGTGGCTTTTGATCTGCTGAGGACAGCAGAGAGGAAGCCACGAAGAGAAATCCAGTCTGTGCACTTCCTGCTGCGTGTACATTAATGTTTCTGGGGAAGTAGAACTTTGGGTTCAGAGGATCCTTAAACAAGCTGAGTGGCAGAGGACAGCCCATATGCAAATGAGTAACAATAGTTGGAATCAAATCAAAGGATATTTACCTTCCATAACCTGGTTCCTTCTCCTTTAAGGACCCGCAATAACTATCCTTCTACCACTTTGATTTGGTCCCTGCTTGCTCAAAGCACTGGTTAAGTTTAATGTCTTCTCGACTCCAGCTGTTCCAAGTCAAGTTGATGATGCAAGCGTTCCAGCGCATTCCCGGGTCTGAGTGCAACAGCCCCAATGAAACTTTAGACCAGATATGGAGAGACTTCTACTCTGCTAGGCAGGCCAACAACCCCGTGTCAGCTTGAAGAAGTTACAGAAAAAGAGACCTCCGCCCCTATACCCTCATAAAGAATTATGAGTATGAAATCTTTCAGGGGGGAATGAGATAGGGAAGGGAAAAAGAGACTGAGCCCCTAGGCAAAGAACCCTGAACTAAAAACGTGCTTAACTAATGACACAAGACCCATTATCTTGGAACATGCAATAAAGAAAGAACAACCCACCCAGCTCTCAGTGGACTTCCTTGTAAGATGCTTTTCAGAAGAACTGGCCCAGTCTTGTCCCTGGAGCATGTGCGGACATCGGCAAGGTGACCGACAGACCCGTGACAGGAATCAAGCCACCACCACGGGGGGACTGCGCAGGCGTGGCACCCCATAATAAGTCCTGTCGTCCAGTCCCGGGAGCCTTTGTTCTGGGTTCCATCTTGAATTACCTCTTGTGCACGCACTTGACACACCCCTTTCATGAATAAAGATGAAACCATTTCCCACCTAGAAACCTTTGTAAGCCTTGTAAACGCTTTATTCAGGGAGAGGAAGGCCAGCGTTGCATTGTCCCTCTTTGTCTCCGCTCGGGAGCCACTTTCCTCAGTAAAGCTCTGTTTGGGCAGAAAAAGAAATGGAGTCTGCGGTTGGGGAGTTAGTCAGAGCCCCTCACGGCCCATGTGCTCACAGATGGGCCATAAGGAGTCTAGTTCACAGAACCTGAGGGGAAAGAAGCTCAGCCTGCGCTTTGAGATGATGACTCCATTGAGTGCTGTCTGCATGATGATGACTAACATCCTTGTCATGAGATTTTGTCATAGGCAGGCAGGGGATGAAATAGGTCCAGGAAGAGTTGTGAAGGGAACTTTTTTTTTTAAACGTCGGTAAAATGTACTTAACATAAAATTTGCCGTTATAATCATTTTAAGTGTACATTTTAGTGGCGTTAATGGCATCCGCAGTGTTGGGTAACCCTCACCACTGTCTACATCCAGAACTTTTCCCTCACCCCAAATGAGAACTCCGGTACCCCTTCAACAGCCACTCCCCGTGACCCTCCCTCCCCCAGCCCCTGGTAGCCACTCATCTACTTTCTGTCCGTATGCATTTGGCTATTCCAGATATAAGGAACTCTGGTGGCAAAGTAGAGGAGCCCTGGTGGCACAGTGGTTAAGCGCTCAGCTGCTAACCAGGTCGCAGATCGAACCTACCAGCCACTCCGTGGGAGAAAGATGTGACAGTCTGCTTCAGTAAAGATTACAGCCTCGGAAACCCCATGGAGCAGTTCTACTCTGTTCTGTAGGGTTGCTATGAGTTAGAATTGACTCCCGAGCAAGGAATTTGGTGTTTTTGTTTGGTGGTGCAGTGATTAAGCAATCGGCTGCTAACGGAAAAGTCAGCGGCTGGAACCCACCAGTGCTACTTGGGAGAAAGACGTGGCAGTCTGCTTCTGTAAAGATTACAGCCTTGGAAACCCTATGGTGCAGTTCTTCTCTGTCCCAAAGGATCGCTATGAGTTGGAATAGATTTGACTGCAATGGGTTCATTCCAGATGTTTCATAGAAGTGAGATTGTTTGGTATTTGTCCTTTTATATCTGGCTTATTTCACTCGGCATGTTTTCAGGGTTCATCCATGTTGTAGAGTGTCTCAGAATTTCATTCCTTCTTATGGCCGAGTCATGTTCCACTGTATGGATAGACTGTATTTTGTTTATCCATTCATCCGTCGATGGACATTTAGGTCGTTTTTACCTTTTGGCTCTTGTGAATAATGCTGCAGTGAACATGGTGTACAGTATCTGTTTGAGTCCTTGTTTTCAGTTCTTTAGAGTGTATACATATGTGTGGAATTAATAAGTCATGTGCTATGTTTAACTTTCTGAGGAACCATCAAACTGTTTTTCACAGTGCCTGAGTCAGAACTGGCTTGACAGCAACGGGTTTGGGTTTTTTTAGGCACCATTTTACATTCCCCCTGGCAGTGGAGGAGGGGTCCAATTACCCCATATGCTCACCAACACTTATTATGTTTTTTTTAATAATAGTCTTCCTAGTGGGTAAGAAATGGTATTTCCTTGTAATTTTGATTGGCATTTCTTTAATAACTGGTGATCTTTCATGTGCTTATTAGCCATTTGTATGTCTTCCTTGGAAAAATGTCCATCTAAGTTCTTTGCTCATGTTTTAATTGGGTTGTTTATTTTTTTATTGAGTTGTAGGAGTTCTTTATATATTCTTGATATTAATCCCTTATCAGACATATGATTTGCAAATATTTTCTCCCATTCTGTGGGTTGTCTTCGCACTCTCTTGATGGTCTCCTTTGATGTACAAAAGTCTTTTTAAATTTTGATGAAATCCGATTTATCTATTTTTTCTTATATTGTCTGTGCTTTTGGTGTCATACTTAAGAAATCATTGCCTAATCCATTGTCATGAAGATTTCCACTTATGTTTTCTTCTAAGAGTTTTATAGTTTTAGCTCTTAAATTTAGGTCTTTGATCCATTTTGAGTTAATTTTTGTAAATGGTGTGTCTTAGTTACCTACTTCTGCTATAGCAGAAATACCACAAGTGGGTAACTTTAAAGAACAGAAATTTATTTTCTCACCACTGTGGAGGCTAGAAGTCCAAATCAGGGTCTTGGTTGTGTCAATTCCTTTGTGAGCTTCTCTTCTAGTGTCTGGTGTCTGCCAGCTATCCTTGGCGTTCCTTGGTGTCTGTCTTCCTCCTGTATGCATCTCTGTGTCTATTCTGCTGTTTTTATAACTCAGAAATGATTAGGTTTAGGATCCATCTTACTCTGTTATGATCTCATTAAATAACAAAAGAAAAATCCTGTTTCCAAACAGTGTCATATTTATAGGTCTAAGAGTTAGGATTTCAGCATAAAATTTTGGGGGACACAATTTAATCCATAGCATGATGCAAGGTAAAGGTCCAACTTCACTCTTTTGCATATGTGGATATCCAGTCGTCCCAGTACCATTTGTTGAAAACACTGTCCTTTCTCCATTGAGTAGTCTTGGCACCCTTGTCAAAAATCAATTGACCATTTAAGTGAGGGTTTATTTCTGGGCTCTCTATTCCATTCCATTGGTCTATATGGTATATCTTCTGTCAATACCATACTGTTTTAATTACTGTAGGTTTGTAGTAATTTTTTAAATCAGGGAATATGAGTCTTCCAACTTTGTTCTTCTTTTTCAGGATTATTTTGGTTCTTTAAGGGTCCCTTGAGATTCCATTTTAATTGTAGGATGGGTTTTTCAGTTTCTGTAAAAAATGCCTTTGGGATTTTGATAGGGATTTTATTGAATCTGTAGATTGCTTTGGATAGTATTTTTATCTTAACAATATTAAATCTTCCAGTCTTTCAACATGGGATATCTTTCCATTTATTTAGGTCTTCTTTAATTTCTTTCAGCAATGCTTTGCAGTTTACAGTGTATAAGTCGATCGCCTCTTTGGTTACATGTTGTCTTGGATTGAATTGTGTCCCCCCAAAAATGTGTCTATCAGTTTGGCTAGGCCATGATTCCCAGTGTTGTGTGGTTGTCCTCCATTTTGTGATTGTAATTTTACATTAAAGAGGATTAGGGTGGGATTGCAAACCACCCTAACCCAGGTCACATCCTTGATCCAATGTAAAGGGAGTTTCCCTGGAGTGTGGCCTGCACCACCTCTTATCTCTTGTAAGAGATAAAAGGAAAGGGAAGCAAATGGAGAGTGGGGGACCTCATACCACCAAGAAAGAAGCACCTGGAGCAGAGTGCTTCCTTTGGACCTGAGGTTCCTGCGCAGAGAAGCTCCTAGTCCGGGGGAAGACTGATGATGACAAGGACCTTCCTCCTGAGCCGATAGAGAGAGAAAGCCTTCCCCTGGAGCTGACGCCATGAATTTGGATGTCTAGCCTACCAGACTGTGAGAAAATAAATTTCTCTTTGTGAAAGCCATCCGCTTGTGGTATTTCTGTTAGAGCAGCACTAGATGACTAAGACACATGTATTCCTAAGGTTTTTTTTAGGGATTGTAAATGGAATGGTTTTCTTAATTTCCTTTTTGGATTGTTCATTACAAGTGTATATAAATACAACTGATTTTTGTGTTGATTTGATATCTTGCAACTTTGCTGAATTTATTTATTCTAACAATTTTTTTGTGGATTCTTTAGGGTTTTGTACATATAAGATCATGTCATCTGTCCACAGAGATAGTTTTACTCCTTTCTCTCCTATTTGGGTTCCTTTTATTTATTTTTCTTGCCTAGTTGCTCAGATGAGAACTTGCAGTACTATGTTGAAAAAAAGTGATGAAGGCAGACATCCTTGTCTTGTTCCTAATCTCAAGGCGGAAACCTTCAGTCTTTCACCATCGAGTATGATGTCAGCTGTGGGTTTTTCATGTGTGTCCTTTATCATGTTGAGGAAATGCTCTTCAATTTCTTGTTTGTTGGATTTTTTTATCTTTAAAGGATGTTATATTTTTTCAAGTACTTTTTCTGCATCAATTGAAATGATCATATTTTTTTTCCCTTCATTCTATTAATGTGGTATATTATATTGATTGATTTTCATATGTTGAACTATCCATGAATTCCAGGACTAAATCCCACTTGCTCTTGTATATAATCCATTTAGTATGCTTCTGAATTTTGTTTACTAGTATTTTGTTGAGGATTTTTGCATCTCCATTCATAGGGGACATTGGTCTGTAGTTTTCTTTTTCTTGTAGTGTCTTTAACTAGTCTTAGGATCAGGGTATTGTTGGCCTCATAGAATGAGTTACGAAGTGTTCTTTTCAGTTTTTTGGAAGAGTTTTAGTAGAATTTGATTTTAATTCTTCTTTAAATGTTTGGTCGAATTTACCAGTGAAACCATCCAGTCCTGGGCTTTTCTTTGTTGGGAGGTTTTTGATTACTAATTCAATCTCTTCACTTGTTATAGGTCTGTTCACGTTTTTTATTTCTTGTTGAGTCGGTTTTGGTAGATTGTGTGTTTATAGGAATTTGTCCATTTCATCTAGCTTATCCAATTTGTTGACAAATGTCATGGGTTGAATTATATTCCCCTAAAATGTGTCAAGTTGGCTAGGCCATGATTCCCAGTATTATGTGGCTATCCTCTAATTTGTGATCTGATGTAATTATCCTATGTGTTGTAAACCCTAACCTCTATGACGTTAATGAAATAGGATTAGAGGCAGTTACGTTAATGAGGCAGGATATAATCTACAGGATTAGGTTGTATCTTGAGTCAATCTCTTTTGAGATTTAAGAGAAGTGAGCAGAGAGGAGAGGGACCTCCTACCACCAAGAAAGAGGATCCAGGAGCAGAGTGCATCCTTTGGACCTGAGGTCCCTGCGCTGAGAAACTAGTAGGCCCAGGGGAAGGTTGATGATGAGGACCTTCCCCCACAGCCAACAGAGAGAGAAAGCCTTCCCCTGGAGCTGGTGCCCTGAATTTGGACTTCTAGCCTCCTAAACTGTGAGAGAATAAATTTCTGTTTGTTAAAGGCATCTTCTGGTGGTATTTCTGTTATAGCAGTGCTAGATAACTAAGACGACACAGAACATAACTGCTTGCATAATTGTGACTGATGTCCATGTTGTGGTATTTTGTCACAGGTGAATGTGGGATAAAATGGATGCCAGGAAGAATTGTGAGGGGAATTATTTCATTTTGCCTGTTGACAGAGTAGCAATGATGGCGGCAGAGTGCTTGTAGCTGGCCATAAGGGGCAAGAGCCTCCTGTGCCGGACTGAGTAGGAAGTCCAATCATGCTGAACGGCCCTCACTGACAGTGGGTTGGCCTCAGGACACTCCTGCTCTTCCAGTTTGCCATTTAGCAAACCATCTCTGTGGTACAGGAAGTGACTGGGCATCAGGCCGTGAGGAGAGTGACCCAATGTGAGGCTGAATGAAGGGCTGGGTTGTGACGGGCCTGCGCCGTCTGCCAGGGTCACCGAGGGGTCATTTTCTCCCCCTACTCTGTCTGCTGTGATGCTAAAGGCCTGCCCTGGGGCCTGCTGACCTCCTGCCTCAGCGAGCCCTGAACGCATCTGTCCTCAACTTGTGTGTGGACTGTCAGAGCCATCGATTCTGTTTAGGAAACAAGCTGTTTGGGACTGGCCAGCTTTTTCACCCTCTAGGCTGTTCCCACAGTTCCTGCTCTGCTTCCAGCAAGGGGAGGCTTGTGACGTGGTCAGTCTTTGAAGGAGGACACATGGAAGGCCTGGACACCATAGCGTGAGCCCTCAGGGTGGCCGCTGTGCTCATCAGGGCAGCCTGGGCAAGTGTGCGAGTCAGGGGCTGCTCCTCCTCTATCCCCCTTCTTTGGAACATGTTTTCCTGGGTTATTTGCTTTTAGAAGTAAGCACCCACTGGTCCCCTGTGATGGGTCGTTCATCCAGTGACCTGTCGATGCAGCAAGTGTGCTCTGAGCTCAGCCCCTCCCACGCCAACCCAGAAACCTCCCAGGAGTGGTGGGGACACCCCCGGTGACATGATGACGTGAGGGGGTTGGGCCAGGAGGTCTTGGCAGGCCCTCCAGGACTGGAAATGAGCTGGGTAGTGGTGTGGACAGGGCACCAGGCAGGGACAGCGGCCAGCAGGGCTGGGCAGAGGTGTGGTGGGGGCTGTGGTGAGAGGAGAGTCTACAGGGTCCCAGCTGGTCCTGGTGAGGTCCTGCACACACAGCACCCACTGCCTGCTCAGCGGCCCCTCCACACCCCATCTGCACATTGGCCACCCTGCAGTTCCTGCTTTCAGAGACGCCCCCTTCGTGTCAGTCCCCCCACACACCTTCCCCTTGGTTCTGACTGGTCATGTGGCCTGCAGTCATGCCAGGTAGACATTGGCCCCTGAGGAACCAGCTGGCAGATGGATGGGACTCTGTGTTTAGTGCCTCTTTGGACATCTGATGCTCCTCCCACACGTGTCTTTTCTGAAGATTTTGCAGATGAAGGTGGCCCGGTTGGAGCAGCTGGTGAAGCTGAAGGACCTGAGGATCCGAGAGCTGGCGGGACACGCAGACAAGGCCCAGTGACAGAGCGGGTCAGCCTCGGAGGAGGGAGGACCGGGGGACCTCAAGCTTGAGCCGACTGTGGGGACCCACCCCCAACATCCAGAGCAGGGGCATCTGTGTGCAAAGCTCTGCTTGGCCCAGCACAGGGATTTTCACAAATGGTGGGGTCTTGATGTTAGGCCCCCAAGGCCAATTCTGGTTCTCTGCAGCCCCGACGTATGTGATTGTTACACGTTTGTGAACAAATAAATTCCCCGTACAGGGCGTCTGTGCGCTCGCAGTGGGCCAGCAGTGTGGACCCAAGATGCAGGTGCTCAGAGCAGCTCGCTGAGGCTGGGGTGGGGGCTCCGTGGGAAAAACATGCTCACTGAGAAGTCGATGTTGCCGGGATACCTCCACCCTCACTGCGACAGGCCTGGGCGCCCGCTCCAGGTCCAGGCTGGCTGGGTCCTCTGAGAAGAATGGCCCCCACTCCTGGAGTCTGGCTATACACCACCCGGCTGTACCCCACCTGACTGTGCCCCACCTATGTCCCACCTGACTGTGCCCCACCTGACTGTACCCCACCTGACTGCGCCCCACCTATGTCCCACCT